AGCCATCTGGTCCCCGTTGGGGGGCCAAACCCCTTGTGTGGGGGCTGAATCCCCTGTTGGGGGGCTGAACTCCTTGTGTGAGAGCCATCGCCCCTGTGAGTGGACAGTAAAAGATGTATTCATGAAACATGTATTTAGAGTTCACTTTATTATTAAGATAAGAGACTTGCTTTAACACTGTAGGATGTATCAATAAAACGTCCAACTGATTGCTGTCTCTGTCTTGCTCTCTCTCTCTTCATAGTGGCCTTTTGTTTTACTTGTGGAGGAACATGGATTTGGGGGTATTTTACAGAGTGACTTTGGGATTTTTTTTATAGCGATTTTTCAGTTTTCCAATAGGGAACACTAGAATTCCTGCTAGGGAGGCCAGTAGCAGGATCCTGCTGGTGCAGAGCTGGCATCTTGGACCCAGCTGGCTGTGGCTGACCTCCTGGCCAAATGGGGCCAGGAGGACATGCTTTGATAGTTCAAAGCAGGCCACCACACCCGGAACATCTTCTGGGTGATAGCTACCCAGATGGCCGGGCAAGGGGCGCACATGGCAGTAGTGCCGCACAGAGGCCAACCCTGCAACCACAGTCCACTGGCAGCTGGCCCAGAGGGGCAGATGCCTCTACTGGCTGTGCAGTCCTCATCTGGGTCTGGCAGGTGCACAGCCGCTCACAGCCAGGCAGCAGCCCCAGACTGCTGCAGTGGGTAGAGGGGGCAGGGAACTCTCAGGGCTGCTTCAGCAGTCCAGCTGGCACAAGGAATAGTGTCCCCAGGTACCAGTTGGCTGGGCCACAGAAGCTCCTGAGTGCTAGTAGCCCTGAGCTACTTGCCAGGGCAGCTTTTTATACAGCTGGGGCCAGGACAGGGCAACTTTTTATATTGCTGGGGACAGCACGGGTGCTGGCCCCGGGCTCTAGCTCCCCTTGGCTGCAGATCTGGCAGGAGCCAGGCAGGGTTATTTTTCTCCAAGTGGCACAATTTGCTCCACACCAAAGTCCATGTCCGAGCACGTGCGCTGAAGCAAACAGCCCCAGTTCAAATTTGCACTGCTTCTATTTGAGCTGCTGCAAGCACACGTGCTTGTATGTGTGGATGCGCCCTATCTGGGCAGATGGGTGCCATGGAACTTTTTCATGCAGAACCATAGCTGGGCATCAGGTAGAAGTCACTGCCATGGTGGCTGCTGGGTCCTGGTACTGGCCTGCCTAGGACCTGAGCTGGGCCATTCCAGCCTTCTGGTGCAAAATATTGCTGACCATTGGTATATATGGTTGTTTGGGGCCAACTATACCTGTGTAATTTCTCTTCATATTGTTGTTATTGTATAAGGATCAATAGGAGGTTTCAGCAAAATTACAAGAAGTTGATACAAGGCTGTGTGTTTGCAAAGAGCATGCTTTACTATTCTCCCCAAGATGAAAATATCTTAAAATGAT